AAAAAAAAAAAAAAGTTTAGGCAGAAATCTATTTCCTGAGATGGTTCTTTTAAGACTTGAAATCAAAGCAATTAATCACGAATTAGATCAGTTTAGTTGCTGAGCACCCCAACTGTGATATAACCATGAAACACACTGGCAGAAAGTAGACTTTCCTACAGAGATTTGCAAAGAACCAATGATCTTAATTCAAGTTGGTGACATAGGGAAGTGGAAATGGCTAATTACCACTAGTGATTAGAATAGCTAATATTTACTGAGTGCTTATTATATGCCAGGCACCATGCTCAGTGGATTATTTCATTGATCCTCAAAGCTACCCTTACAGACAAGGACACTGAGGCTTGGTGAATTAGGTAACTTGGCAGAGATGCACAGCTTGTGGTGGAGCGGGAACAAGGATGAGGCTTGAGCTACACAGAAAGCAAATAGAGCAGTCTGTGGGATAACCTGTGGGCTTTGCTCTTTACAAGAGAAAAGGAAAATTAATAAAAACAGCCATAAAATGGATTCCAGCGTAACATATGGCATTGTTAAAAACAACACAACAGGCCTCAAATGTAGTCACTTAAATCGAGAATTATCGTTTCCACTCTCCCAGAAGTGGAATCTTAAACTCGTCAATCAGGAATCACTGATCAGCACTAGTTAGGTAATCTGTCTCCTGCCATCCACTCAGGGAAACTAATCTTGCAAAAACCAGTCTGCTTTTTTGCCAGTATAACTTCCTTGCTCCTGCTCCTTTCTGTCTATAAAACTCTTTCATTTTGTACATTCCCTTGGAGCTCCTTTCTATCTGCTAGATTGGATATTGCCTGATTCATGCATCATTAAATAAAGCCAACAATATCTTTAAAATGTATTCAGTTAAATTTTGTTTTTTAATAGCATGAATGGTTTTTCCATTCAAGGTGCATATGGGAATGGAAGCTGGAGCCCTGGCCCTTTTAAACCTACGTTAAATGGACTCAACTTCCCTAAATTTTAAATAAACACACATATTATTTCCTTCTCACTTTTTTATTTTAAATCAGGTTCTGCTTAATATAGCACACTGGAGCCCCAAGCCATAAGAAAAAGATGTGACGGTGCAGTCTCACCCTTCTTAAAGGGAGCTCCTCACCCTGGAGACTCAAACCAATGCAGAAAAGGGAGGTGGATGAAGTGCCTCCATCTCCTACCCTTGAGGAGAATGACTGGGTGCCAGGAAATCACACGGAACGGCCTCTTTGGACTGGAAGTTTGACTAGGGTCACATGGGGTGCAGCTGAGGCTCATGCCGCTGAAGACTAGTAATAATAATGGGTGGCAGGCAGTGTGGACTAGCAAGTATGGGCTTCAGCCACATCCTGCATAGCCTGGCTCTGTCTCTTACTTGCAGTGTGACTTCAAACACCTCAGTTTCATTGCATTTGTGTGTTGAACGTAGTACCTCAAACCTCACAACAACCCAACAAGATGACAATCTTTATTGCCATTTTACAGATGTGAAAACCGAGACTCTGAGAAATTAAATGAGGTATGAAAGACCTCAAGATGGCTCCAAGGCCATTGCCTTTTCCGGTGTAGCACACTTCCTAGCCTCTCTTGCTCCTCTACCTTCACATAACCTTTCTGAGCTCTCTCTCTAGTCTTCTCTAGTTTGTTTGCCTAAACAAATTAAACAATGATTTTGAATTCCCTGAACATGACAATGCAGAATGGAAGGTAAAATCCACTGACACTCGTCAGAGATGAAAACTCTGCTTTGTATAATTCGCAGACCAGATAAGCAACTAAAATAAGAGGGAGGTGAATGTAAAAGCTCTTGAGTTAGGGCAGATCACTCACTCCCATCCTATTCCCAGGACTTCTTCACTAATAATTGATGACTTAATCATGATAATCCAGAGAAATATTTTCCCTAAAGACATCATGAATTAGCAGGTCTGATCAATGCTCCATATTTCCTCAGCCCCCTGAGAATTTGCATTTGAACTGGTTAGCTGTGTGAACGTTGGGTGAGTTACTTGACCTTTCTGGGTCTCATTTTCATTATCTGTATAAAGGGTATAATATTATTATCTAGCGCATGGGGTTGTTATTAGAATTAAATGAGTATGTGGAAAGAACTGAGAAGTGTGTATTATGTGCTACATCCATGTTTTGGTTTTATGTTTACCTGGTGTGAACCACATTGTCTTCTGACCAAAGCAGCCCAGCCATAGATGCCTAGCTAAGTAGTCAGTCATTTCGTTTTCTGTGCCCCGGTATTTATAAAATCTGGGTGTACTAACCCAGTTCCCTGGTGTCCTAGGACCAGGAATCCTGGCCTTTCATTTGACCTTTGACCTCAGCTCTTTGGCTGGTGCAGTCAGCCATAGACACAACTCTATTCAGAAGACACACTCTGCCAGCAACTGGGCTTAGCACACAGTCTCACATGGGCTCTGGGCCACAGCCCAGAAAGTTGGGTGAGTTCATGGTTGCCCTCACAGGGCATGGATGGACCCACTCTGAACCCTCCAGGTCTTCTCACCAATCTTTCCTCAGATATCACATATCTCCTGTTAGGCCATTAGATTGAGGTGGTTCAAAGGCCTTGGCAGCCTACATAAGCAAACCAAACCCTAAGTGCCTCAAGGTTAAGAAATCGAAAGCTGGGGCTGGGCAGGTGGCTCAGTTGGTTAGAGCATGAGCTCTGAGCAACAGGGTCGCCAGTTCAATTCCCACATGAGCCAGTGAGCTGCACCTGAGCTGAGCTGCCAATGC